CCTTATGTCGGGTTGCTTATCTCAAACGCTTCTTTATAGTCTTTAGTTAGACTCCTTATGTCTACATTTTCTTTGGGATAGTTTTAGTGTACCTTTGTTCTGTCCCATGAAATTTGTTTTGAAGAACTCTGAAAATTGTAGCAACTTGGTAGCCATTAATAATAATACTAACTACACATGCACCATAAGTATCATCTTCTTTGACATTTAGTATTCTTTATGACAATGTCGTGCTAGGAGGAAAGGCAGCCTGAGTGAAACTTACGAAGGGCCCAAAAATTTCAGCAAATCTTAAAACCATGAACCGGGCAAGTTATTATTTCAATTATAATTAGGAAAACTATTTTAACAATTGTGTTAATTTTGCCAAGAAGTGTAAATTTATTTCCTAAATTTTAGTTTTAAGTCTTTTGTTTTCAGAAAAATTCCAAAATTAAATAGGGTTTTAGCACTATAGCACAATGAAGTTTGACGAATTTACACATTTAGTTATTCAATTATTTTTTGTATCTAATAGACCATTAAAGTTGAATTTTACCTATCATATACATCATTATATGACCTGATACAGGAACAGCTGATTACTTGAGTGACTAAATGTATAAATTCGCCAAAGTTTGTTGTCCTACAGTGCCAAAAACAAACTCACATATGTGAAGCCACGTTAGCATGTCACCCATAAACCAGAATTTCCCTCAAACCCTTAGTCAGTCGGTATTACTAACGTTAATGATCAATTGAGCACAAAATTACTTAAGTGACTTAAATGTATAAATTCTTCAAACTTTATTGTGCAACATTATCAAAAACCCATTTAAATATCAGTAAAGCAAAATAAGTTTCATAAGGTCTTTTGGTGAATTGATGCATGAAATTTTTTTAATTTTAGGAATTTACCTAGCAAATTCCTAATTATAATTGGATGAAGAGTCTATATATGGTGTGAGTTTGTTCTTTATTGTTTAAATCTATGTTTTTGGTCTAAGTAAAATCCATATACTTGACACAATTTCATCAATTTATTATTTTTACCATTAAAATAGTCTATGACTTACATGTTATTGTTACATGAAAGTTGGGTTATATTGCAAACTATAAGTTAAATTATATTTAAACATTCAATAGGAGTCATTCTAGTTTTGCATTTGATAATAAGGTAAAACTTCTAAACTTTGTTGGGGAGTGCCATTTTTGTAAATTCTAGTTTTGACAAATCATTAATAAAATATTTAAATCTTAGATTCTAGCTGGAAGTTATAATTTGAAACACTTATTAGGATGAGTGGCATATGATAAAGTAATGAAGCTTTGTACATTCGCTTTGAGAGACCATTTAAAAAACATCTTATATGCCTTAAAATAGCTATCAAACACCATCAATTTGAAATAATTAGTTGCTACTAAAGATTAACAATAATTTTTTTCATAAAAAATTTAAAAATATCCAAAATTAATCTCTTTTATTTGATTAACGAATTCTTTTACTCTATTAACAATCTATCTACAATTTTTTACTTTCTCATATTAATTGTTTGTAATTAAATTATACATTTTGATAACTTTAGGGCCCTTTATTTTTTATTTTTTCCTAAAGCTTTAAATATGCTAGGAACGTTCCTAGAGAAATTATTTGTTAAAAGATTTGATATATCATTATTATAAGGTAAAATATAATTATGTATTATAAGGTCAAATAAAATATGCTCGAATAAATAGTGAGAATGAGAAATAATTATTTAAGCCAAATGCATATATTCATTTTCTAATTGATATCAATATAAAATTGACAGGTAATCTGAAGAATTTTATAATTGTTATTTTTTTTAATGACTTGTTAGTAATTAGTGGTTACAAATTAAATTCATCAAGTTAGGTAATTGGTTAGGTTTGGATTTGAACCCAAGTCATTTAATCTAAAAGGCTTCACTAGGGATGTCAATGGGACCAAACGGGAGCGTAAATAGCTGCTCCCGCCCCTGTCGTCGAAATTCGTTGTTTCCCCTGTCCCTGGTCCCGCCCCCGGTTCCCTATTTACATAGTCGCCGGTCCCGCCCCCAGTTACCTCCATCGCCCCCGGTCGCATTCCCGTTCCCCCGGTTTATAGACTTAAAATTCGATCTTTTTTGGTAAAAACTATTTCGTTTTAGGCTAAAAAGACTATTTTTAATAAATTTAAAAGCTTAAATCCTAATGTTTTAAAAACTAAAAAAATAAAAATTCAACATTACAAATCGACAATTCCAACAATCTTACATTACAAATATAAAATACTTACATGTCTAAATATATATGATCAACTCACTACATATTCAATATCCATTAATTGGAAACGGAAATTGAAATCTAACCTAAGCCTAAAATTAGAAAATCTATTTTGTATATGTATTTTATATTAAATATATATATTTTTTACATAAATGTACAACCGAAGCACCTACGGGAGTACGGGACAGAAATACCAAATCCCGACCCTGATCCCAAAAATAAATAGGGTTTACTTTTGCCCCGTCCCCACTTCCGCTCCGGATTTTTTAAAATGTTTAGTCCTGTAAGGTATTGTGGTCCCACGGGAACAGAGTTCCACGGAGATTTTTGACATCCCTAGACTTCACATTGACAATTTATATTTAATATAAAATACAAAAAAATAAGTTGAGTTACAAAAAAGAAGCCATATTTAGGCTTTCTTAACAATACTTAATTTATAAAAGTATGGTTGTTCAACGAACTCAAGTAATAAAAGAATGATAAATGGAATCATACAAGAGTGATATGGTACGATGAAGATATCGAATATCGAATATAAAATAGAAAGGTGATGTGAACATGGAAAAAGGAAACCATACTTTGGCTTTCCTAAGAATAATAAATAACTAAAAAAATGGAATCGTACAAAAGTGATGTGGTACAAAGATATCGAATATAAAATACAAAAGCAATACAAATATACTACTGTTTCACGTCAAAATCTGAGAATTTGACCTAATAACCAATTTGTATGTTTGGGTAATAAATTGTGGTAATTTGTTGATTTAAAACCTAATAACCAATTTGTATGGTTGGGTAGTAATTTGCTATAATTTGTTCATGTAAACATATAGTAATACATATATTTGTTCTTAACAAGGTAAAGGTTTAATACCTCAGATCCTACAAGATTTGACAAATATGAGTCAATCTTTGTGGCTATTTAAAATACTTGTTAGCGATTCCATATCTTAGAGGGATTAGAATGAACTTATGTTGTTTAGGTTACATATACCCAAATTGTGAAAGTTGTTTTTATTTGAGTGATCTTACCTTAATGCTATACTTTTTGGTTGCTATTTTGATGTGAGGGTGTGATAGGTCCATGATAGAAAGAGTTTATAATGTTGATTGTGTGTGAATATATGCATGCAATAATTTGTTGGTAATATTTGTCTATGTTGGATAGAACAATGCATGCTAGTGATATAATATGCCTTAATAATGAAAATATGATATGGGTAGAATTATATAAAGATGTAAAATGCCTTAACTTGATTTCTTGTTGTATGTTTACATATTGTGAAGTAGAGAATTAACATGTCATTTAATATAAATAGAAATTGAGTATCATTACTTAGGGAGGTTTGTAGTGTTATCCTTATGTGATGAATTAATAAAATATTAATTAAAAAGGGGAATACACTTAGTGAGGTATAAAGGGTAGACACCTAGACTTAGGTGTGTACCCTATCCGGATACTTGTGAGGGCTTTAAAGGTTGGAAAATACCTAAAGGGAAAGAGCTTAAGCCACTAGTGAGGCCGAGTGGTTTTTCTAGACCACCACTCGGGACATGGTTCGTGGATACTAAGGTATTCAAGGACTGGAGTGATATTGGCGTAGTGATGGAGCTGGATCAAATATCACATTTGAGTGGGAAATTCTGGTGATGGGAACAATGACAAGTACCACTCACGAACGACAATGTACATCCTCTTATGTGCAATGTCGTAGTAGCGAGCGCAGCGAGCCAGGATTAATGTTACGAGTGAGAGTCACGCTTCAGTTAGTGCATTGGGTGGAGCCGGTCACGTTAGTAATGAATGAGTATTTTACCTCTTGGGTTAGTGATGGACCCAATGGGGTAGGATTGGGTCGATCACTTAGTAGTGAACGGGTTTTGCCTTCAAGTTAGTGATGGAACTACATGTGAGGTTTGTACCTTATGGGTTTGTGATGGATTTATGTGCGAGGACTCTTCCTTATCAGTTAGTGATGGGCCCATGCATGGAGGGTCTTCCTTATAGATTAGTGATGGATCCAAGGATAAGAATAATTATTAATTATCTAATATTAAAAGATAAATAATAACGGTAGACCTTAATGATACTCTAGTGATGAATATGCAATATAAATGATGTATATGATGTGTGTGATGTATGTGATGTGTGTGATTTATGTGATGATATGCTATGTGTGTTTTCCTAACATTGTACTTATGGTTGAATCACTTAGCATTTGCTGACACTGGTTTCTTTGTTTGTCTTTGTCTTGCATTGGTACAGGTAGCATAGTTTGACGGCTTGGTGAGGATGGGGAATTTGGGAAGTTACATTCCGGTTTATGACTTATTATTGATACTGATTAGACATGTCGTGGAGTTTTCATAATACTTGTTTTTGAGAAATTGTTTTTGATTTGGTTTATGAACTATATTTTGATGAATGATGTTTTTGAAAATTATCGTAACATTGGTGATGTTTCCTTTAAACCTTCAATAAGACTTCCGCTAACGCATTATGTTAAATAAATGTTTTAAAAATAAAAAAAATTGTGAAAAATCATGTTGTTACAAGTTGGTATCCGAGCCATGTTGTGAGTGAACTGAATACAGAGGTTGGTGTTCAGACTCACAGTGTAGACTCTGTTAATTAGGTTCTTTAGGATCTTAAGGGGAGAGGGTGTGTGCTGAGAGATACATGATAGTTATATGTAACTTTTTGAACTTTCCTTCCTGGAATTGATGTATAAATGAACTCTTCATTATTTAGGAACATGACGCGCGCTGATAAGGATGCTACCGTTGGGGGTACTGGTAGTGACTATGCCAACTGCACACTAGAGATGCCACTGTCTATTTTTCAGACCCCACCTGTTGTTCGTCAGCCACAAGTTCAGCCAGTCCGTAGCGAGCATAGCACCACGAGTATTGCTGTCATTGTAGATCATTGGGAGCAGCTTGAGGCACGTCATGCTGAGTTGAAGAGACGTGATCGAGCCATGGATCAGATGCAGCAGGCTATGGGAGATGTTGGTCTCTTACTCCTGGAGGATGAAGAGGATGATAATGAGGTGCCATGAGAGGCGATAGCTGAGAGCCGCTCAGTTACCCGTAGCGGAGTAGGGAGCCCATTAGAGATCGTGATGAGGGGAAGGATAGTTCCTTCAAAGCATTCAACCACCGCAAATCCCCTATCTTTTTAGGAGGTGATAACCTAAGATTGTGCATGAAATGGTTGCACAAGATGAGGCAACTTTTCTGTTTAGGTGACTTCACAAAATCACATAAAGTTAGTTATGCAGTACTGAAGCTGGATGGTGATTCTCTTTAGTGGTGGGAGGCGTTGGACTCTATTTTTCCTGAGGCTACACTTGATGTCATGACTTGGGAAGCCTTCAGCCAAAGGCTGCAAGAGCGTTTTTATCCTCCAGGATAGATGAGGAAGATTGAGTGGGAGTTCCTTGCATTGGAAAAAGGAACAATGTCAGTTGCGAAATAGAATTACTTGTTCTCAGAGAAGTTACCGTTCGAGAGAAATTATTGTCCCACCGAGGCAAAATTGGTGGAACATTATGCTGAGGGGTTAGCGGCAGAGTATTGGGATAATGTGAGTCAACGCAATACTTTGGCGGCTGCGATGGACGAGGTTATTCTGATTGAAGTTGATATGGCTACACCAGGGTATGTCTTTGCAAAGAGTGGGTAGAAGAGGAAGTGTGAGGGTTAATCTGAATCCTCTTGGACAAAGAAGGGTCACCAAGATAAAAAGGGTAATAGGTCAATCTTTTGTATGATTTATCATTTCTCAAACAAGGGATCATGCAGTGATAGTACTATGAGTTGCAAACGTTGTGGAAAATTAGGCCAGAAGCAGTCAGCGTGTAAGAGTGTCGAGCCATTATGCTTTAACTGTCATCGGACATGGCACATGAGAGGGCAGTGTGCAAATCCTAAAGTGTATCCAAGTGGTAGTCATAAGAAGACTGATGCACCAAAGGTGCAAGCATAAGCCTTTTGGGTGATCATCAGGGTAGTCAGGAGCGATGATGAGGTACTGTCATAACTTTTTCATGTAAGAGTTTTCTTTGCTATGTATAATTGTGTTGGATGTTTGTAGTGGTAGATCATTTGTACTTGTTTTTTTTTTTTTTTTTTTTTTTTTTTTTTTTTTGTGTGTGTGTGTGTGTGTTAGTTCATAGTTTTTCTAATTTTTTTAGTTAGACATTGTGATAGCCGTAGGGAATCTTGTTTCCATGTCTAGGGAAATGTTTGATGAGTGTCCTATTCTGATGGTTAGAAATGTTTTTTCCCTTTCACTTGGACTCCGATTAGGATCAAGTCGTGTGATGTTGTCATGCATCGGTTTTGGCAGTATGTTAGTCAGACTAAGATTCTTTATGCTAGAAGTGTATGTGATTTTTGCATTTTGTGTGAGTATATGTCTGCTTTGTGAAGATAGAACTCTAGGGTTCATCACTATCATCTACACTTTAGGGCGAATAAGTGAAAAGCGAGGTAGTGAGGAGGTGTTAGCTTCATTGGCTCATGTAGTAGAGGGTTCAATTTCACAAAATACCTGATGATAGATTTGCATATGGTATTGTCAAAATTGATGAATACTTGAATGCTGATGATTTGGTTAGTATTGTCAATGAAAGTTTGATAAAGAATGAACAAGTGAAAATTTTAAAGAAAACGGAAACCTCAACTCTTGATTCTCAACTCAATTATGCTGATGTCGATGACAATTCAGATATTGTGAGTGAAATCAGTGAGATTGAAGAGGAAGAAGAGGTTCATTGTTCACAATTGTCAATCATTAATATCACATCTAAGATAAAAGGTAAAGAAATTTTAGTTGATTCGATAGTCAAAAATGACATTGAAAAACCCTCTACTTCGTAACATTGTAATTTTGATAATGTGGAAGTTGAAAGCTGGAAATCTGATGAAACTGATGAAAACAAAGAAGATGTGAAGGATTCACATGAAATACCTCCACGAGTTGTGGTTGATCAAGTATTTGGTGATACAAAAGAATTCGAAAAAATTCTAAGTGACAAAGGTGCACATTATTTGGAAACCAACATTGTGGTTTATCCAAATTTTATATGCACAGACAAAACAATTTTTCCAAAAAGTATTTGTTACTACTGGGAATGCAGAGAAAATTAATCCTAAATTCAACAAAATTGTTGAAAATGATAATCAAAGGTCAACTACTGAAGGTATCTTCGCAAATCAAAATACTGTAGAAAACAATTTGACTCAAAATTCGTATGTTCATCGAAATCAAAAATCATCACAAAAATGGGTCGTTAAAAAGGAAAAACCAAACAAAGTTTTTGAGAATGTTTCAAAACCAAAGATGGAAGTGAAATTAAATTCTCTTGAATTTAAATTGATGTTTGGAAATTATTCAACAGAAAATAATGTTTCCAAAAGAAAAGCAAGAAAAGAAATTTTTTGGTAAGTTGTGTCCAATGACAAATCAAAAGATGAAAAAGAATAGATTTCAAAGTCAAAATCATCAAAATTTCAAAGAATGGATAAACAAAAAGATACAAGTTTTCACAAACCAATATATTCTGTTGACAAAATTCCAGTGACAAATAATGATAAATTTGTTCGCAAATATGACAACAATCGAAAATTTGAGACTTCGCAAAAATTTGTGAATCATCAAAAGTTTCGTAATGTTGACAAATTTACGAATAAATCATCAACTTTGAATGTCACCAATCAAACCAAAATGAAATTTACACCTAATCAACCTAATTTTCCAAATCCTTCAATTTCAAAACCGACCAAAGTTTCGTATACAAAAGGGAAATCTTATGTAAGTATGATCAATCGTTGGCTTGAAGGGAAAGGAAGACAATATCAAAATGGAAAGTTTTCAGAGCAACATATAAAGAATGCATTTGACAAGTTCGCAAATCATTCTTCCAATGCTAGTTCATCATCTTATAATTCGCAAGTTCTAGTACAAAAATGGAAACCAGTTATCAAAGTTACAAATGTTGTGAACGATAAGATGAAACTCAATAAAAATTCAAAACTATCTAATGACTATATTTGAATATCTCGATCGGATGATGTTGATATAATTAACAGTGTGACAAACAAAGTGAAATCATGGTTTTTAAATTCAAAGCATTTGTTCAAAACTACTAATATAGGACCCAAGAAGTCTTGGGTTCCTAAATTTTTTCAATAAATGCAGGTGATGTGTGACGAGCAATATGATGCGAAATGGTATATTGATAGTGGTTGCTCTCGTCACATGATTGGAAGGAAGGAAAACTTGTGAGATTATAGAAGCTTGGAAAATGCTGGAGTAGTCAAATTTGGAAATAATCACAAGTGTCAAGTGAAAGGTTATGGAAAAGTCACGAATGGACAATTCACTGTTAACAGGGTTGCTTATGTTGAAGGTCTTCAACATAACTTGATTAGTGTTTCACAACTTGTTGTGGGTACTAGAAATCAAGTTATGTTTAATGAAGAAGGAAGTATCATTTCAAATGTGAAAACAAATGAAGTACTTCTCCAATCCAAAAGATATGATGATATGTTTACACTAGATATCAAACCAATCATGGGCAAACCTGATGTGTGTTTACTATCAAAGGCATCTAATGATATTAGCTGGCTTTGGCATCGAAGATTGTCTCATTTGAGTTTTCGCAACATTAACAAACATGTCACTGAAGATTTAGTTAGAGGTTTACCTATACTAAAATTTGACAATAATACTTTATGTGCAGCTTGCGAACAAGGAAAACAACATAGAAAAGGTCATCCGATTGTGATAGATTCAAAAATTGTAGAACTATTGGAACTTCTTCACATTGACTTATGTGGACCGTCGACCGTTGCAACAATCAATTAAAAGCGGTACATTTTAGTTATTGTTAATGATTTTTCTAGATTTACATGAGTATTTTTTCTCAGGTTAAAATCTGAAATTGCTCAAACGATGATTGATTTTATCAAAAATATTGAGATTAGCCTTAAAAAGAATGTTCGCAAAGTTAAAAGTGATAATGGTTCTTAGTTTAAAAATCAAACACTGGACTCTTTTTTCACAGACAAAGGTATTTCACATAATTTCTCTTCACCATATACTCCACAACAAAATGGTGTTGTTGAAAGAAGAAATAGGTTTTTATGCGAAGCAGCCATTACCATGTTGACATATGAGAACTTACCTCAATATCTTTGGGCTGAAGTAGTATCTACTGCTTGTTTTACTCAGAATCGGTCATTCATTCATTGTAGATTCAATGTTACTCCATATGAAATACTCAACAATCGAAAACCTAATGTCAATTTTTTTTCATGTTTTTGGTTGTAGGCGTTTTATAATGAATCTAAAAGACAATTTGACAAAGTTTCAAACTAAAGCTGATGAAGGCATATTCTTAGGATATTCGCAAAATTCGGTTGCATACAGGGTGTTAAACAAGCGAACAAGAAAAGTTGAAGAAACTTTCAACTTAACTTTTGATGACTACTAACTTAAACAAACGGATATTAAATTTGAACATAAACCAATTCTTGTTAATTCAGATACTAACATTGATAATTCGGAAATAAATGATTTTGATTATGTCTTTAATTTTTGGAACTCCTGACAGGGCAATTGATGCAGAAACAAATGCTCCTAATAGTCAAACATCAGAATCCTCAAAACATAATGATGATTCAACAATCACTACAACATGGATACCTTGCGAAAGTGTGCCTGGAGTTAATGTGGTAGAGCAAACTTTCGAGGGGGAGAAAGAAAATATGAATCATCAAGTTGAGGGGGAGCATTCGCAAAATTATCAGGAATATCATTTAGAAGGGGAGCATCAAAATGAATGGCATGTTGAGGGGGAGCATCAAGATGAACATCATGTTGAGGGGGAGCATGATGAAACAGAGACAATTAATCTTGATGAAAATGATGAGTTTCATGAAATAAATGATAATTTTTCTATTGCAAGATCTGAAAATAAAGATATGTATGAAGATGCACCATTGGAATTTAATCCTGATTTTCCACCACTTGAGAAATGGACAAGAAATCATCCCAAAGAACAGGTAATTGGAAATCAACAAGATGGTGTGTTGACAAGAGCTCAAATTCGTGCGAAAAATGAGGTACTAAATGCGAACCAAGAATTGTGTATGTTTAATGTTTTTATTTCGAAAATAGAGCCAAAGACAGTAAAGAACGCTATGGAACACTCAGATTGGGTTGTTGCTATGTAATCTGAACTAGATGAATTTGAACGAAACAAGGTTTGGAGATTAATTCATAAACCTTTTGATGTTTCAATTGTCGGATTAAAATGGATCTTTAAAAATAAAACCGACAAAGATGGCAATATTATTCGAAATAAAGCTAGACTAGTGGTTAAAGGATATTCGCAACAAGAAGGAATAGACTATGAAGAAACTTTTGCTCGTGTCGCAAGACTCGAAGCAGTTCGCATATTTTTAGCTTATGCAGCTCACAAAGACTTTGACGTTTTCCAAATGGATGTTAAATGCGCATTCTTAAATGGAGAACTTGAAGAAACAGTGTATGTTGAACAACCACCTGTATGTATAAATGAGGAACATCCTGATCATGTCTACATTCTTGACAAAGCAGTTTATCGGTTAAAACAAGCACCAAGAGCCTGGTATGCAACACTTACAAATTTCTTGAAACAATCTAAATTTAAACAAGGATCAGTTGACCCCACATTATTTCGCAAGAAAGTTGGGAATCATCTAATGCTTGTTCAAATTTATGTTGATGATATTATTTTTGGCTCTACTGATCCAACATTGTCACTTGAATTTGAAAATCTAATGAAAATCAATTTGAAATGAGTATGATGGGAAAAATCAATAATTTTCTTGGTTTGAATATAAGACAGAACAGGGATGGAATTTCAATCAATAAAGAAAAATACACAAAGAACTTGCTTGAAAAGTTTGGAATGACCAATAGCACGAAGTTACGAGTACCAATGGCAGTGGTGTGACAATCCGAAATTTCCATTCTGAACAAACCATACCAAGCCAATTTGAAGTTAGAACAGTTACAGTGAAATTCCAGACTTTGAGTATAAGTTTAAGTATTTCAGGTTTAGCACTTAAGGAGATATCAGGAGAGTGGATGCACTAGGGTTTTGTGCAACACTATTATTCCAATACTCTATGACATTAGAGTTCATTCCGGGAATAAAAATATTTTCTGGGAAAAATATATCTCAGGACTATAAATAGAATTCTGAACCAATTTCATTCATTATTCGCATTTTCAACTAGAGAAAAGCCATTTTCTCTCTCACGGATCTTCGGGTTTTTATCCCAAAACGTGAGTATACTACTCTAGTTGTCTTATAATGCTTATAAAGTGCTTAATAACTTATATTACATAGCAAATCTGTGAGATTCGGGAGTTTACTGCCCAAGAACGTTCTTGGAGAGTAAACTCCTATATGTGGCTTAAATGCTACCTAGCCTTTTCCCCGTGATTTGTAACTACCTTAGGCTTGTATGCTAGTGTGTATATGACTAGAAAACATCAAAATCGGATCAAGACCCCGAGATTTGGGAGTTTACCGCCCAAGAACACGCGGAGAGTAAACTCCATTTTAAGGGCTAAAAGTGTCCCAATGTCCCTCAAAGCCTCGGATCTCAAACTAGAAGCCTACATTGCATGTTTAGGACACAAAAACAATTTGAAATCAATGGTGAAAGTGAGTTCACGGCCAAGGATGTTCCAGGGCCGTGAACTCCATTTTTGGTTGCCAAAATTCCCTAAATGCCTTCATTGAGCCAATAGACTAGAGTAGCAAATTACCTTGATGAGTCTAGGACTCAAAACAATCAAAATACCAACACCTATGGGTGTTCACGGCCGCAAACACATGGCCAATTGGTTCATGGGCTGAAAACTCCATATTAGGGGTGTTTTGATGCCACAAACACTTCCTAAGGCTTAGGCTTGAATTTAGACATGTTCCCTAAAGTGTTTAAAGCCTAGAAAACATAAGGAATCACAATTATTAAGGAGTTTACGGCCAATACAAGTTCTTCGGTCGTAAACCCCTATAAAGGGGTCAAAAAACACCCAAACACTTGTTTAACCCTTGAAACAATTCACCACTTGAGTTGTAATAACTTTAAGCCTCAATTAGTGACCCAATATAGATTTTAAGGCCAGGAGTTTACTCCCCTGGGCCGTAAACTCCAAAGCATGTGGTTATTTGACCATAAACTCCCATTTGAGGTATTGCACTCCTTTGTTGCAAACCATTAGCCTCCTAACGCTTGACCAAAAGCGTTTTCCTCGCATAAGAATGCTTATACTTGTACAATTAGTGTTTTAATCACTAATTATTTAAATACATATGTCTTCATATGTAATTACGATCATTGTGTGTGTCTAAAGTCTTCAATTGACACCAAACACTTGTCCGATCATTCCTTACGATAACTTTCCGTTCACTTCCAATCACTTACTACAGGTGAGTTCATACCCCTAAATCAATGTTTTAAATGTTTTTAAATGTTTTATGGGGGGATACAAGTAGAATCATGCTACTTATTATATCAAATAACATGCGATTAATAAGCAGCATTCAAATGATTTACTACACATTTGCTGTTTTACCAAACAGTTGTTATTCAAAGGATTTTCATATACGTTTTATATGTTTAAAACTCCTGATTTAATTGTTCATTATACACTGTATGTTTCATTTCAAACTCATTTACAATTGTGTTTTAAACAAATGTTTCTTTGAATTTAAAACTATTTTGTTAGATAAATACCTCCAACCTGTTTTATAGATTGACATCAAGTCGATCTTTTCTTAGATAGTAATCATGTTCAAAAGGTTTTACAAAACTTATTTTATGCTTTTATGATATAAATTGCATGCCTATATATGTATATTTATATAAGAAATGTTTAAAAGACTTAGGAAGGCTATCCACCCTATTTCCTTTTCGCGCTTGAGATGTGGTCTGGTGGAATATCGGGTACCCGTCCGAAGGTCGTTTAAATATTAGTTATATATCATGTGTACATATATAGTCATAAAGGTTCTTCCAGTTCATTCGATACCCTTGGGTAGCAAAGGTATACACCCATGTTCATACGTACCAGTTATATTACTAGTAAACTACCATAGGGGTAGTTTAGGAAGATACTAGAACTATTATTAGAACACGATATCATACAATGAGTCAGTTCATTCATGAGTCTATACATGCAAGATAGAGAGAGAGAACACACATTACAGCTAGCACATGCAGAACATTACAGTACATTACAATACTATTACATAGATATGTTTTACATGATTACGCTTACATTAGTACGTTTACATATATTCGTTTACATGAATGCGGTTACATATACTTTGATAGGACATACATCACTAGGTGCTATAGTATAGGACAAGTTCAGGATCTAACTATACTGATGAATCGCAACGCATTGTGATAGTTATATCGGGTATACATGATCATAGTAATGTGGATGTTCACGGAATGCATACATGCATGGACGTGTATAGATCTCAAAATCCCTTTGACAGGGGAGCGTTTAGCCTGGGATCTAGCCATCACATTAGGCCTTATCCCTCAAATAAGGAAATAGGAGTACAGAGGCAGTCACTTATTACAAATACTGTGGTACTTATGAGATTACCCTAGACTTAAGGTAATTAGTACCATCGTAGTTCGACACTACACTATAGTACTATTTCATTTTCCCATTACACTCACTTCGTGAACATTCACACGATGCACGGTAATGTAGAAACTATATTTTTGGTTAATGATAGTCAGACTTGGGAAAATACAGACTCTCACAAGAGACACACGCAGACACTAGATGCTTTGGTAGAAGGCTACATATGGATCAGTTAAATCTTGGTAGAAGACTCCCTGTTATAATAGTAGGAATCATAGGGATTTCTAGAGCTTTTCAAACCTTACAGTTGTTTTACATACATTTTCAATACTTACAATTCTTATATATACGAATTCTTACATACAAATTAAGACACTAAAATACTTATGATCTCACCAGCTTCAAAGCTGATACTCGCTTTCAAAATTACTTGTATCCTCAGGTCAACCATAGACGGGTACCGATGCAAGGTTTAGAGAAGATGGTGCTCGTTCAAGACTCATCTTTCATTTTGATTTATACTGTAGAGTCTATTATAATTTGACAGAACACGCTTGTATTAAAATTATATTATTAATGCAATGGATGATGGTGTTCCTTGTTTACTACTTTTCATTGTTGTGATACTATACATGACGTCCTCCGCCCCAGAATGTTTCCGCCATTCTTGGTTTTGGGGTGTGATAAACACGCTTGTATTAAAATTATATTATTAATGCAATGGATGATGGTGTTCCTTGTTTACTACTTTTCATTGTTGTGATACTATACATGACGTCCTCCGCCCCAGAACGTTTCCGCCGTTCTTGGTTTTGGGGTGTGATAGATTGGTATCAGAACATTGTTTATAGTGAATTAAGTATATCAACCCATAAAAGATAATAACTATAAATACATAAGGGATTAAAAATACTCTGACAAGAGTTTATACTTTAAATAATAAAATATTTAATTAAGTATACGTGTCTGCATTCATACTAAAATCAGTGTCACTAGGACAGTACAAAAGAATTATGATTATTGGGCAACACAGGTGGGCTTAGAGACATATGGTCAAAACTGGGAAGATATAGCCTGATCACCTATATTATCCGAGGGTTGACTAGCATGTGCCTAAGTGTAGTTGTGTGGTTGCAACAAGTCTAAAATCTTATCAACCCTACCACAATGAGAACAGTAGAACATAACATTAAACTTAAAATACTATAGGAGTATTTGGTGTTACTATAAGTACTTTATACTTGAGAACTAAAACGGGATTCTTCATTACTAAGTTGATAGTTGCTAAGTGGATACACTAAGGCTATATGTAATTAGGATGTTATAGACTTAGAATCTGTGAAAATTTTTACTTTACCCTTATTCTGTGTGAATTTGGAGTTAATATCACTTATTCGAAGGTCTATCGTGTTTCGATTACATATAACTGGTATGCACTTCACAAATAGCGATGTAACTAATGAAGATTTTCTAAATAATTATCTAGATAGTTTCGTCTAATAATTATTTTCTTACCCCAAATTCTCGCG